ATAAGGGCGCCTGGGTGGCTCAGTCTGTCAAGTGTCCCACTTCAGCTCAGGTCATGATCTCATGGTCTAGGAGTTTGAGCCCCGCATCAGGCTCTGTTCTGACAGCCTTGAGCCTGCTTTGGATTCTCTCTCTGTCCCTCCCTCCCTCCATCCCTCCCTCCCTCCCTCCCTCCTCGCCTCCTTCCCCCCCCCCTCTCAAAAACTAAGTAAACATTAAAAAAAATAGATTGTGGTAAGTAAAGATGCATATTGTAAAGAGCAACCACAAAGAAAATAAAAAATACATAGTAAAAAAGTCAACAGACTTTTACTATGGTATGCTACCATACTTATAGTATACTAGAAATATTTCACACACAAAAAAGATAGTAAAGGAAGAGGAGAGGTTAAAGACCTGAAACAAAAACAAACAGCAAAATGGCATACATAAACCCAACCATGTCAATAATTATATCAAATGCGAATGGACTAACTGCCTGTTCAAAAGGTAGGGATTGTCAACCTGGATAAAAAGGCAAGATGTAACTATATGCTGTCAATAAGAAATATACTTTAGATGTAAAGACAGAAATAGGCTGAAAGTAAAAAGATGCTAAAAAATAGATTATATAAACAGTAACCATAGGAGAGCTGGGATGACTATATTAATAACAAAATATAGTTTAGGGTAAATATTACTAGAGATAGAGGGACGTTTCATAAGGACAAGAGTTGATACTTGAGGAAAATATAACAATTATAAAAACATAACATCACCAGAACATCTGAAACAAAAACTGACAGGAATTTAAAGAGAAATAAAAGATTCAGCAATAATAATTACAGATTTCAATACTCCATTCTCAATACTTGATGGAGAAACTAGAGAAAATTAGCAAGGATATAGAAGACTTAACACTGTCAGCCAGCCCATATTTATTGAATACTCTATGTAGAATATACATTTCTTTTCAAGTGCATGTGGAACAGTCTCTAAGAATATTCTGGGCCATAAAGTAAGTCTCAATTATTTTTGAAGATTGTAATCATAAGGTGTGTTTTATGACCACAATAGAATTAGAGATCCATAACAGAAATCTAGGACATCCCCAAATACTTGAAATTAAACAGCATACTTATAAATAACCCATAGGTCAAAGAAATCCCAAGGCAAATTTAAATATATTTTTGACTAGATGAAGATGAAAACATACTACAATTCATGGAATGCAACTAAAACAGTGATTAGAGGAAAACTTATAGCTTTTAAATTTATAACTGTTAGGAAAGAAGAAAGGTCTCAAGCATTAACCTAGGCTTCTACCTTAAGAAACTAGATAAAGAGTAAACTAATCCCAAAGTAAGATGATCATATGGGGATTTTAAAAAATCTTTTATTTTATTAAATTGTACAGAGGCCAGCAAACTTTGACATGTGGACCAGCTATTTTTGTAAATAAAATTATTAAAGAATGAAAACTGCCTTTATACACAGATGATATCATCCCATATTTACCTATGTAATTCACAACAAACCAGAAGCAAATAAAACTAATTGAGTTTAGCAAGGACGTTACTTCAAAGAAATTGAAAGGATTATAAGGGAAAATCATGAACTTTATCTCAACAAATTAGAAAACTTAAATGGAGTGGACAAATTCCTAGACACATATCATTAAAGCTAACTCGAGAGAAGATAGAATACGTATATGAAAACCTTTAATAATTAAAATGAATCAGTACTTAAAAATTTTACTATAAAGAGAAGCCCAGGCCCAATGGTTTCATTGGTAAATTCTATCAAACGTTTAAAGAAGCACTAAATCTAATCCTTCACAAAGTCTTTCAGAAAGTAGAGGAGGGGGTACCTGGGTGGCTCCGTCAGTTGAGCGTCCGACTCTTGATTTCATCTTGGGTCATGATCTCATGGTCATGGGATCAAGCCCCGTGTTGGGCTCCTTGCTGAATGTTGGAGCCTGCTTAAGATTCTCTCCACCCGTCTCCCATCCACCTCCCGTGCCCCTCTGCCCTTCTCTCCTGCTTGTGTGTGCGCTGTCTCTAAAATAAAAATAGGGTGCCTCGGTGACTCAGTTGGTTGTGCATCTGACTCTTGATTTCTGCTCAGCTTATGATTTCATGGTTCAAGAGTTCAAGCCCCGCATTGGGCTACATGCTGGTAGTGTGGGGCCTGCTTGGGATTCTCTCTTTCTGCCCCTCCACTGTGTATGCACTCTCTCACTCTAAATAAATAAACTTAAAATAAAATAGATTAAAAAAAAAAACTTAAAAAAAAAAGAAGTAGAGGAGGAAAGAGCACTTTCCAACTCATTCTATGAGGACACTATTACTCTGATAACAAAGCCAGAGGCATCATAAGAAAACCGTAGACTAGTAACCCTTATGAACACAGACATAATAACCTTTAATAAAATATTAGTAAACCAAATTCAGCAACATAGAAAAATGGGTTATATACTACGAGCAATTGGGCTTTATTCCGGACATGCAAGGCTGGATAAATATGTAAAAATTATTGTAACATACCAGGGGTCAGAAGATGTTCTCTTCAAAGGCTAGCCGCTAAATATTTTAGGCTTTAGGACCAGTATAGTTTCTGTTGAAACTACTCAGCTCTACTGTAGTACTGCAAAAACAGCCATAGGTAATATGTGAATAGGGGGGTGTGCCTGTGTTGCAGTAAAACTTTACAAAAATAGCTGGCCCACAAGTCCTAGTTTGCTGTCCTGTAATAAACCATATTAACTAAAGGTTTTTTGAAAAGCCCGCATGATCATCTCAGTAGACATGGAGAAAGCATTTGATGTAATCCAATGCTCATTCATGATAAAATTTCTCAACAAGTCAGTAATAGTAGGCAACTTATGCACCTTGATAAAGGTCATCTATGAAAAGCCTAAAGTTAACATAATATTTAATGGTGAAATATGAATGCTCTTCCCCTAAGATTGGGAACAAGGTAGATGAGAAGGTCCACTCTTACCACTTCTTTTTTTTTTAAATTTTTTAAGTTTATTTATTTATTTAAAAAAATTTTTTTTTCAACGTTTATTTATTTTTGGGACAGAGAGAGACAGAGCATGAATGGGGGAGTGGCAGAGAGAGAGGGAGACACAGAATCGGAAACAGGCTCCAGGCTCTGAGCCATCAGCCCAGAGCCCGACGCGGGGCTCGAACTCACGGACCGCGAGATCGTGACCTGGCTGAAGTCGGACGCTTAACCGACTGCGCCACCCAGGCACCCCTTTTAAGTTTATTTTTGAGAGAGACAGAGTGCAAGTAGGGGATGGGCAGAGAGAGAGGGAGACACAGAATCTGAAGCAGGCTCCAGGCTCTGAGCTGGCAGCACAGAGCCCGATGCGGGGCTTGAACTCATGAACCACGAGATCATGACCTGAGCTGAAGTCAGATGCTTAACCAACTGGGCCACCCAGGCACCCACCACTTCTTCTTAACATTCACTGGAGATTCTACCTAGTGCGGTGGGGGTAGAGGGGCATCTAAATTGGAAAGAATTAAAACTTTTTTTATACATGCATGACATAATCCTGTATGCCTAAGTAAGTCACAAAAAACTAAAACCAGAACGAATTGAGTTTAAGCAAGGTCACAGGATACTAGATCAATATACAGAAATAGTTTTTTGTTTGTTTTGTATACTAGCAACAATCCAGAAATGAAAGTAAGGAATAAATTTAACAAAAGTATTATAAGATTTGTACACTAAAAACTATAAAATATTGTTGAGAGAAGTTTAAAAAGACCTAAACAAATGGAGAGATATTCTATATTCATGGATTACAAGTCTAAATGTTAAAATGATAGTTATCCCCAAATTGATGTCTGGATTCAGTGTAATCGCTCTTTAAAAAAAAATTTAAAAAATCCCAGCTGACTTCTTTGAAGAAATTTAATCTTATAATTTATGTGGAAATGCAAAGGAATTAAAGTAGAATAGCCAATACAATTTTGAAAAAGCACAAAGTTGGAAGAATTTCATTATATGGTTTCAAAAATTAGTATAAAATAATAATCAAGGCAGTGTGATATTTTGGTATAAGAATAGGTACTAGAACTGGATTGAGAGTTCAGAAATAAATCCTTACATATGTGGTCAATTGATTTTTGACAGAGGTGCCAAGACAATTCAGTGGAGGAAAGTGTAGTTTTTTCCAACAAGTAATGCTGGGAAAATTGGGTACCTATGTGCAAAACAAAAAGAAGAACTTATGCCCTTAATTTATACTAGACAGAAAAATGAGCTCAAAGTGGATCATACACCTAAATCTAAAACTACAAAATGTCTTGAAGAATGTTTTTGTGACTTGGGCTAGGCAACCACTTCCTGTACATGATACCAATGACACAAGTCACAAAAAGAAAAATTTGATAAATTGACTTCATTAAAGTGTAAAACTTTTGCCTTTAAAAAGACATTAACAAGAAAATGAAAAGACAAGCTACAGAGTGAGAGAGAAATTCGTGTATCTGATAAAGGAGTGTCTAAAATAAATAAATAACTCTTACAACTCAGAAGACAAGCCAGTTTTAAAAAATGGACAAAAAATGTCGTATGATTCCACTTACATGGATAACTAGAATAGGCAAGTTCCTAGAGACAGAAAGTAGAAAAGGGGAAGTGGGTTGAAGAATAGATTGCTAGGGGGTGTGGAATGGATAGTTCATGTTTAATAGGTACAGAGTTTTTGTTTAGAATTATGAAAATATTCTTGGGGCACCTGGGTGGCTCAGTCAGTTAAGCGTCCAACTTTCGCTCAGGTCATGATCTTGCTGTTTGTGAGTTTGAGCCCCGCCTCTGGAGCCTGCTTTGGATTCTGTCTCCTTCTCTCTCTGCCCCTCCCCTTCCTTGTGCGCTCTCGCGCGCGCTCTCTCTCTCTCTCTCTCTCAAAAATAAATGTAAAAAAATTTTTTAAAAAGAATTATGAAAATATTCTGGAAATGGATAGTGGTGGTGTTTGCACAGCATTGTGAATTTAATGCCACTGAATTGTACACTTAAAAATGGTTAAAATTGTAGATTTTTGTGTTATGTTTTATCACAATAAAAGCAAAGAATTAGAAACATAAGACTTGAACATTTTATCACATAAAAAGTTGTTCAACATAATTAGTTATTAGGGAAATGTAAATTAAAATCACAGTGAATTTCCACTGTATTCTTCTGGAATGACTATAGTCAAAAAGACTATAAAAATGTGTTGGTAAGGATGTATGGAAACTGGAAACTGTGCATTGCTATGAGAATGTAAAATGGTACAGTTACTTTGGCAGTCAATTTGGTAATTTAATAAATATAAACGTACCATATGATGCTGCAGTTTCACTCCTAGGTATCTACCCAAGAGAAATAAAAACCTATGTCCACACAAGGACTTGTATGTGAATGTCTATAGCGTTATTTATAATAGCCAAAATCTGGAAACAGTTCAAATGTCTATCAAATGGTGAAGGGATAAACAAAATCTGGAATATCCGTAAAATGGAATGCTATTCAACACTAAAAAAGAATGAGCTACTAATGTATGCTACAACATGAATAAACTTCAGAAATGTTATTCTAAGTGAATGAGGCCAAACTTAAAAGACTACATATTATATGATTCCATTTATGTGAAATGTCTAGAAAAGGCAAATTTATAGAGACAGAAAGTGGATCAATGGTTGGGACTACAGGTAGGAGTGGAGATTGATTGGAAACAGGTTTAAGGGGAGCTTTGGAGTGATGAAAGTTCTAAACTTGGATTGCAGTGATAGTTGCACAACTCTAAATGAATAGAAGTCATTGGATTGTACATTTACAGTGGGTTCATTTTATGGTATATAAATTAGACCTAAATAAAGCTGTACAAAAGTACCTAAGATTGGTTGGAAGGAGGTAAAGGAGGAGACTTTGGGGTACGATAGTGTGTTTTTGTTGTTTGTTTTGGGTAAAATGGTTCTAAGTTTGTCAGGTGATGTCCTGTTGATTTGTGATGTCTCCTATCGATCTTTCACTTGGAAACCTAGACGCTCCCTGCTCCCAGGGCTTTACCCTGTGCCTTGCCTCATGAAAGTCCATTGGAAAGAACTTTCTCTTTGGGAGGACTGACTCAAGTTGGAGTGTGGCGCTGATGGACCATCTAGGCAGAAGACACTTACATACACAAAAATGCGTTCTCTCAGCCCCAGGTTATAGATCAACCCCAGCTAGACATCTTGCAAATATGTACTGCTGATTGACAAATAGGTGAGAGTATGGGGAATGAGGGTATCTTGCCTTTTGAAAGAGGAGAGCCCATTGAGTGGTTCCATCACATACTAGGATGCTTTGGCTGTATTGTCATGTGCTGTTGGCAGTGTACTTTTCATTGTTTTTGTTGTTGTTGTTGTTTTGTTTTTTGTTTTTGCTGAGGCCTTACAATAACCCTGTGAAATAGTAGAGGTATCCTTAGTCCCCGTTTACATAGAAGGAAGGCTTATAGGGTGACTCACTTGTCCAAGAGCACAGAACTATGGCAGAGTTGAACCTACTCTGACTTTATATCCTAAACCACTTCTTTTATACTCTGCTGTTTTGCCTCAACTGTTTACTGGGAAGAGGAGCAGAAGGAGCATGTGATTTTGACTGATCACACATGTTTTCAGTAGATCCAGTTAGTCTAAAACAAAGGAGGGGAAGTTGGACCAAAGTTATCAGTTCAGGGGTTTTATAGCAAGTATAATAAGAGCAAACCTGATATCTGGTAGTTACTAAAATTATACTTGAGTTGGAACTATAATTCATGGCACAGATGGTTTGAAGATATCCAGTGCTTGGTTCAAGGAGTAGATCACTTCCTGTGTTATAAATATAACTGCCAGAAATCATAAGGAAATTCATTTGACAAACATTTACTGAGTGTCTATTCCATGCCAGGTTGCTTGTCAGCCAAGATCCAGGATCACAAGGTCCAGTTGGATCCTATTGAGATACAGCCTGAGAGAACTGGAGTAGGCTGGAATTTCCTTCATTGTTTTCATTCTCTGAAGCTGCTCCCCTCCAAAGTGACCACATCCACCAGGGACCTGGAGCCTGTCACTTTCTACTGTCCTTGCAGCTGAGCTTTCTACAGGTTCCCTTTCTTGATAAAAATAGTCCATCTTTTCTTCCTTTTCCACTGTGGATTCTTCCATCTGCTTTTCAGCCAAACATAGGTAGCTTGCATCTAAAAGAAATCTTTGCTTTTAAAAAAAGACATTTAAAAGTAATTTTTCTTAATTGTTGGAATAGTTTTATGCTTATTGCTAAACACTGGGAAGGCATAGATGAGTTATAAATGATAAACATAAAAATCACCTCTAATTTGGGGCGCCTGGGTGGCGCAGTCGGTTAAGCGTCTGACTTCAGCCAGGTCACGATCTCACGGTCTGTGAGTTCGAGCCCCGCGTCAGGCTCTGGGCTGATGGCTCAGAGCCTGGATCCTGTTTCCAATTCTGTGTCTCCCTCTCTCTCTGCCCCTCCCCGTTCATGCTCTGTCTCTCTCTGTCTCAAAAATAAATAAACGTTGAAAAAAAAAATTAAAAAAAAAATCACCTCTAATTCTACAACTTAGTGATTTCAATTGTTAACATTTTGCTTCCAGTCTGTCTGAACTTCCAGGCTGTTTTTTTACTTCCTGTCAGCCAGTGTTTGCTTGTATTTTGTGTCAGACTCTTGGTGAAATGTTTTACACGTATTCTTACTCCTCAAGTAGCCTTGTGAAACAAGTACTATCATTATTATCTTCTATTTACAGATGAAACAGACTTAAAGGTAAGTAACTTGTCCAAGTTCACATAGTTGATAAATAATGTAGCTGGAATTTTAACCTTATTTAAATAGCTCCAGCTCTTCACTACTACCTTTCCAGAAATCTTATTTTCTTCTGTGACTATCACTCCAGAATTGTTCTCTGCAGGATTGTCAGTAACTTTTTAAATTCCTGCCTTCTCCAGCCTTATCTCCAAACCTCTTTTCCATCTTCTGTGTGTCACAGCCACGCTTCCAGTTTTGTGCAGGCACTATGCCTTTAGCCTGCCTATGTGCCATTTGTTCCCTTTGCTCAGAATGCTCACCCCACCTCTCTTACCCAGGTCATTATGTGTATCCTTCAAGTCTTCACTTAAATGTCACTTTCTTGAGATCCTTTCCCAGGCCTTTCTCACACCCAAGACTGGATTGGTCCCTTCTATTATTTGCTCCTATAGAACTTTGATTTTCCTTTTGCAGACCTTTTCACACTTAAAATTATTTGTTCATTAGAATTTGGTCCACTATTTTCACTACATGCTTTGTTTTTCTTCACATCTGGCTTCTTTTGCAGTCCAGGTACACGGAATGTGTCCAATAACTGTGTTCAATAAAAGAAAATTTTTTTTTCTTTCTGTACTTAGCTCATTCACTTTTAGCTCTATGTTTGTAAATCACAAATACGCATCCTCTTTTCAGAAAATGAACTTTCTCTTTTTTCCATTTTGAAATTGCTCATTTCTTAATGCACTCCAGGCTCTTAATCTAGTCAAGAAAGGCACCATTTTTGACTCCTTGCTATCTTTTCTGTTTGAGCCAATTCCTTGGAAGGTGGATCTGGTCTATTGACCTGGAAAGATGGCCACAATATTTTAAGTGAAAAAAGGTTCTAGAACAGTATATATAATTTGTGGTATTTTCTCTAAATACAAATACATGTATTTTCAATATCTCTGAAATACCTGGGAAGATATACACTGAACAGAATGATGGGGGAGGCAACTAGTTTCTCTTTTGTATAAAATTTTCAGTGACTACATCGTACTAAAAAGAAATCTATTTTGAACAACAAAAAACAAAAACAAAAGCAAAAAGCCTTTTGAAGGTATCCTTTCTATTCCTTCCACTCCTGCTGCCTCAGATTTAGCTCAGCTTATTTGTACAAGAGATTTTTTTTCTCTCTTTCTCTCTTTTTGTCTCTTTCACATCTCTCTTCTCTTCTTCCCATTTCATATGCTTGGTCAGTCTTCCCAAAACCTTGCTTTCGTTATCTCTTTTTGGAGCTCAGCGCTTTAAAGTGGCTCTCTGTTTCACTAATTCTGCATGTTTCCACCTGGCTCACAAGGTCTTATGTAATTTGTTCTCAGCCTTTCCAGGACTGCTCCTCATGATTTCCCTCACACGGTCTCAGAGCTGTTCTGCTCAGTGTTCCCTGTACATGCCACATATTTTTTTCTATTGCAAGTATTTATTTACAGTCTTCACTCTGAAAAATACCCTTAAACTCCCACAGTTGTTTGCCTTCCTGTAGCATTTAGTTTTATCTAAGAGAAACTGCAGATTTTGGTGGCTGAAATGTGTTATTTTTTTTATTGGCATATTTAGACTATTTATCCTCTGGGTAAATAAGTGGCATACTTGTTCAGGTGTACGTTTTTCAAAGAACATGTAGGACATTCTTTTCTGATTTTTTCAGAAAATTTGGAAATAATTGGTTGTTGAAAAATAATGCCTAGAATGCTTGTTATAATAAAATACAGATTCTGGGACCCTACATCTGGTCTAGGATAGAACTCAGGAATCTGCATTTTTCAGAGCAGCTGATCTAGGTGATTCTGGTACATGACAACTAGGTTGGGAAACACTGGCCTGAACGCCATATTCTTCCTGAATTCTTGGCATTTTTTGCATCTTTCTCTTGGCTTTGATTCTCTTTTTAGTTCTTGGCTCATTGTATTTGTACTTCTACTTCCTTCCTATTCCTGAGGAAAAAAAAGTTGGAAAGCTAACTTGATAAGACTGTTTTCCTAATGCTTTACTGAATTTGACTTTTGCTATGAGAATCTGTTTTTCCCTATCTCAGACTTAAGTATATGATTAAATTATTGATGACCAAGGCCTTTGTCTTCCTGTCATTATCATGAAAGATTTAGTGGCTCATCTCATGTTCTAGAAGTCAGAAAATTGATACCACATTTTACATTTTGTTAAGAAAAATAATGTGCATTTCCCATTTCACTTAGTTTTTTTCTTAGTCCCTCTTAGTTTGAGGGACGTGGTTTGCAAAGGTCACAGTGAATGGGTCTCACAGTTTTGGTCAGAGATTAAGTGCATTTGAATAAGAAAACCAGGGTATTCATGCTAAGGCATACTATATGGTCATTTAAAAAAGAACCAATACAATATATATAGCAAGATTGTTTCAGAAGGCTATCTACAATAGCTGTCTAGTATAGCTGAGTAAAACAGATTGTACAGCAGTAAATATAAAATCAGCTTGTTTTTGTTTAAGCCACCCCCCAAAAATCCCAATATATATCTGTTTGTGTGTATATGGGTAAACGTCTCACAGGTCATAAAATAAGTGATTAGTTTATGATATTTATTTATTAATAATACTAATATAAATAACAAGTTTATTATATTGATTATAACAAGTTATTAAACTTACTGTTTATTATATTTATCAGTGATTTCTACTGAGGAAAAGAAAGATCATAAGGAAAGGGATTTTCAGTTTTTACTTCATATATTTCTTTCTTTTATTTTTTTTTTAAAGTTCATTTATTTGTTTTGAGAGAGAGAGAGAGTAAGAGAGAGAGAGAGAGAAAGAGAAAATCCCAAGCAGACTCCACACTGTCAGCATGGAGCTCGATGTAGGGCTCGAACTCACTAACCATGAGATGATGACGTGAGCTGAAGTCAGACTCTTAACTGACTGAGCCACCCAGGCATTCCCATAAATTTTTTTTAATGTTTATTTATTTATGAGAGAGACAGAACATGAGCAGGGAAGGGGCAGAGAGAGAGGGAGACACAGAATCTGAAGCAGGCTCCAGGCTCCAAGCTGTCATCACAGGGCCTGATGCGGGGCTTGAACCCATGAACCACAAGATCATGACCTGAGCTAAAGTCGGACGCTTAGCTGACTGAGCCACCCAGGTGCCCCTCAATATTTGAATTTTAAATAATGAGTATGTGATTTTTTTTTAATTTAAAAAATTATGAAAGCATTAATTTTTTTAATGTGGTATGATGTCAAGGTATACAGTTTGTTCTTCCTATAAAATATCATTTAACTCTAGAACATTTAAAAAAAAAAGAAAGAAAAAGAAGAATTCTAGGAATTTAGAGTGCTTATTCCATAATAGAACCAAAGAGAGTAAGAGAGGCTTTAACCAGTGTATTGGAGACCGCAGCAGCATCCACCCAGCACAGTAGCTGATGCACTCAAGTGACTCTCTGCTTTTGCTTCCCTTAGGTTGTTTGGTCCGCAGTTTGCATTCATTGATCAGTGAGTTGATTCAGACTCAAACCCACCGACAGCAATGAATGTTGAGTGCAGCCATCAGTGTTTCCATTTGGTGGAGTTGCCTTGGCACTCCCGAATTCCTGGCTCTTCTTTTCCACACGGGTTCTTTGACTTCTGTGTCTGGCATCTCTCTCAGTAACCAGTGGTCGAGGGCCCACATAGTTATAGATAACATTGATACTAGAGCTGGGAGGTCCTTAAAGATGAGAAACTATGTTTCAGAGAATGGAAGGAGCCCTTGGAGAAGCTAACAGGTAGCTCTGACCACAAGGGCAGTGCTTGCATACCTTGTAGATGTAAACAAGAGTTGAGGGTCCTGGCTTTTCCTTCTGTTTTGAACTGAGAAATAGGCTTTTCAAGGTAAATTAGCACAGGTTACATTTGGGGTTAAATAATAATAGTAGCTTACATATATTGAGTATTTGCTGTGTGCTAGGAATGGTAGAAAGCACTTTACATTTTATCTCATTGAATCTCAAAACTTCATGAGGTAAGCGTTCTTATTTCCCATTTTATACACGAGAAAACAGACTCAGATACTTGCCTGTGGTCACAGAGCTTAGTTAGGAAGTCTAACCAAGATTCATCCCAGATCTCTGACTCCAGACATTTTTTTTTTTTTAACTTGAATTTAACAAACATTTAAATAAGCACATGTGTGGATAGAAATAGTGAAGCAATAGTTGTTTTCAAACAGCTCATGTTCTAACAGGGCTGTCAAAACTTAACCACATTAACTGTAATTGGAGGTAGGATGTGATAAGAGCTGTGCAGATATTAGATAGTTTTGTGCTATTTTTGCTTAGTAAATCCTTCTCTTGCCCTTAATAAAAGTTTTAAGGGGATGTGGAAGAAATGGGTGTAAAATACTTAATTGAATGTGGCTCCAAACCGAAATACATATTTTTAATGTCTTTCCTTGCTAATCCTATTTCTCACCAGGGTGGCATATTTGTAGGAGGCATTTTTAAATACGTTAGGTATTATCATGGAGTTCTCCTTATCTTATTGAAATGAAGCACTTATTTGTCAAAAACACAACAAAAAGCAAGGAACAGTGGATAATAGAAATAGGAGCTCTTAAAAAATTCACTGGATCACCTTTGGGGGACAGGCAGCAGGACTGGTTCTGGTGATCTTATGTGACATGTGAAGGTACAGCCTGCTCCCTTGCTTCAGGAAATGTAGTGCTGTTTGTAAAGACCCCAAGGTACAGTCAACGGTCGGTGGTTTTTTCAAATCCCAAACTCACCGACAGCGTTGAATGTTCCTTGGAGTCCTCTGAAGGCTGGTTCTGGCCCTGTCAGCCCTTCTTCAGCCTGTGCCCATGTTCCAGGAGCCATGAAGCAGTGAGATGACTGCTGATAGAGGCTCTCATATTCTTTTCCAGATTTCAGGTTGAGAGTATTTAAATTATGAAATCACTTTGTGTACAGCAGAGAGCTAATGAACTTAATGAACTGGCGAGGCTGCAGTTGTTTATGCAAGCCGACTCCAGTGGATGGCTGAGAAAATGGCTTTGAATGGTATTATTTTTTAATTCTGAAAATGTAGAGTACCTCATTTTTATAGTAGGTTCGTTATTAAAGGGCATGGGTAAGAAAGAAATTAACATACATTGTGGGCTCTGTTATATGCTGGGATTTGTATATTTTTATCTCATTAAACTCTCAACAACCCACTTGTACCTCATGAAAAAACTGAGTTGAGAAATGAAATGATTTGCCCAAAGTTACATAGCCAGGAGTTAAGGTTATAAGCCAGAACTTGAATGTTGGATTTTTTGAATGCAAAGCTCATTCATTGATCAGATCACCTCCTTCCTTGTCCACCACAAAACTTAACTGTTGTGTATCGGGGGGTAACATCTTCAGTGAGAGCTAAGTCAAATAAGTAAACATTTTCTCCTTATTTACTTGTATTAATAGTAGGTGGGTCTGTAGGTGAAATATTTCATAGAGGACGATGAAAAAAATTGACCTTAATAGCTGGTGATCTTTCTAGTTGAGATCCTGGATTGCTGAGTTACCACAGAGGTTCAGTGATTGTCTACAAGTGATTTTCCATATTGAAAAAACAAAAAATAAACAAAAACTCCATTACCTAGTAGAAAGCCTGCATTTCTCCTCAGTAAGGTCACAGAGAGTTAACTAAAATGTCAGGTGTCTTTGCTTTTGGCATGAAGAGTATTGGTACATTATAGACATACTAGTTATTTTTTATTGGCTACTGAATGTCCTTGATTAAAAATCTGGAGCATGAATTAATTATATGCAACTTTTCAGAATGCGGGGTTTCTAATGGGAGGGATCTAGGAGTGCTCAGTAGAAGGGTTTACAGAACTGCTGGCTGAATTAAGGTTAATCTTTAATCAGGGATAGTTATTGTCATTTGCTTTAGATTTAAGTATTAAAGATTGACTCTTCTCAAATTCATTTTTAGAGCAGCCAAGTGGTACACATTTAAAAAAAAAAAATCAACCACTGAGAATTTGGTATGAATGTAAACTGTTTACATTCTATGTCAATTTAATTGTTTCACCCTCTGTCAAAACACTCCAGTTAGCCAGCTTTGTTGAGTTCTCAGTGTTATGGCAGTGAATTGTATACAAATGAAAACAAAAATCAAGCAACTGTTACTGTGTAGTAGTTTAAAAACTCTTTAATGTGTTTAAACAGTCTTCCTCTTGATCTGATAGTTTGAAGAGATGTCAATGCCTTATACCATTTGGACAAATGTTCAGACTTTTAAAAAATACTGACTTCTGCTGCTCCAAGCCATTAGATGTCTACAAAATACCATTGCTCAAATTCATGGCATTCTAAAAAGAATGCTTTTCATAGACTTGAAAAACTAGAGCAGCGTGAAAGGTAGGTTTCTAGAATGACGTAGGGGTGTTTCCCACTGTATTTGAGGTAATTTTCATGGCAGGAAAGGCCACCATTATCCTCACTCCTTTAATTTGCTTTAAGTCCTTAATTTTAGTTTTTACCATCAGGCAAGTTTGAGGCACACATTGGGTCTTTTAAATGAGTTTGCTAAGGTGTTTATATACTTAATGCAAGGATAAAGCTTAAGAGTTAAAAAAAAAAAAAAGTTAAGGCTAAAATTAGCCAAGAGTGATAGAAACTACAAATTTAATAAACCGGTCTATTTCATTCTTGATTTACATTGGTTTTGAGTTTGTCAAAACTCACCATGCCATCCTTTACTATTTGACTTACCTTCTTTCCTTTTCCAGAGGTACTACGAAATACTGAAACCCACATTGCTCCAACTTAGAGATGTAATTGTTTTCATAGTCCTCTTGAGGCCTCTTGATATACTTGAAAGAAACAAGAAGCATAAACTCAATAAAACGATATATTTGAGGGATTAGTAGCATAGCAGAGGAGTCACAGTCTCAGGTGTCTGTCTGTCCAGACACTTCCCACGGATTACACAGGGAGCATCTCTGGAAGTGTTTGGCAGAATTGCTACTAACTTTGAGGACAAATTCTTAAGTTATAAAGATGGCAACAGCTTGTCACGGTGAATCCGTGTTCCTCTTAGCCGAACTAACTGCTAATGTTCTCCTTCATCCTTTTGCTAATTTGGTGGTGAAATCCTAGGATTCTTTCTCCTCCGGTTAGCTCTTGCCATCATGGAGCCTAGTGTCTGCCCAGGGAACTAGATGTAGACACAGCTGATGACAAAGAGGATGATTGCTGTGCTGGTGGAATGATATGAATCATGTTGAGGGAGAATAGAGAAAAGGGTTAATTGTGCCCCAAAGTGCTAGGAAAGATAGATATCTAAGGGTCACATCTGATCTGGACCTCAAAGATACAGTTGAATTTTTGCTAGACAGAGAAGGAAAGATTCCAATAGAGGAAAGATTGCACAGGAAGTCCTAGAAGCAGGAAAGGTCAGGTAATGATGAGTGGCGAGATTAATCTCTCAGGATCAGCTAACTCATCCTTAAGATGCGGGACAAATAGCACTTGCCCTTCCTGTGCACACAGCTGTGAAAATCAAATGAGCTTGTTCATGTGAGAGTAACGTGAATGTAGTAGTTTCTAGATTTCTCTTTTCTCATTGCTCTTGGTTCATATGTGTTAGAATAGATTAGATACCTTATCATGATAGACTTTTCCAAATTCTATTCTTTTTTGGCTTTCTCTTTTTTTCCTTTAGAGTGACCATAATTTAATTTTTTCATATATTGAGTGTTCGGAGAAGTAATATCGCATAGTAGAGTACAGATTTAGATCCAGAATCTTAACTTTGCAGCTTAATAGCTGTGTGACCTTGGGCAAATTACTTAACCACTCTGTTTCTCTGTTTCCTTATCCATAAAATGGGGATAATGACAGTATCTACGCATTGGTTTATTGTGAGAACTAAATGAGGTAATATATATCAGGTGTATAAAACAACACATGACACATTATAATTTATGTGGTTTTATATATGTTTTTTCAAAATGATTTGAATTCTTAAAATCATTTACAATTATTTTCATATTACAAATATGCAAATAAAATTGCATATTTCATCCATAATTTGGTTTTAAGTCCATATACACTAATGTAAAACCCTTATTTTACAGTTAAAATACTTTCCGAATAGCTTATTGCATTGTATATGTATCTGTATATGTGTGTTTCAAAGACATTTTTTTAAAATAATCCTCTGCCACTTCCTTTGTGACCTTAAAGTTTTTTTGATCTCCCATGAGCTTCAATTTCCTCAATCTGTTAAAATAAGAATAGTATAGTAATACTACATATTGCTTGTGAAGATTAAATTAGATAATATAGTTAAAAACTTTCTGAAAGGCTGTAGTTTCTCTCCCTAAATATATGCATATAAACACAAAATTTTGAAAGCAGTTTCAGTTTTGGAATCCAAGAACCCATCTATAGCCTCCCTATGAACTTCAGGTTAAGAAATCTGACCATAGGGGCACCTGGGTGGCTCAGTTGGTTGGGCATCCAACTCTTGATTTCAGCTTGAGTCATGATTTCATGGTTTGTGGGTTAGAGCCCCATGTCGGGCTTTGCACTGATGGCACGGAACCTGCTTGGGATTCTCTCTTTCTCTCTCTCTCTCTCTCTGCCCCTCCTCTGCTTTCTCTTTTTCTCAAAAATAAATAAATAAACTTAAAAAAATCCTGACTAGAGGTCTAGACCAAGATTTTGCAATCTAGTCTTGCCACTGATGTAATGTTGATGCTTTTGGAAGTTTAGATCTCTGTTTTACTAGAAGTGACTGCTTGCTAGCAGTACTGCAACTAGTCACATCTTTCTAGTCACATCTAGTCACATCTTTCTCTATATCATAATCTATGTGATGTAACTGGATAATGATTACTGGACAATGATGGTCTCTGGAAAAGTAGTTATTAGGCTTCATCAGTTTCTGTATTAATTGCGGATACCAACCAGTAATTAGTAAATCTGTGCTTATACAATTAGAATTTCTAAAAGAAGTTGCCAGATGAGAAATTAACACAAATATTTGAATGAACTTAATTTACTTTGCAACAGTTCGACACCTCTCCCCATTCCTCCAGCAACTGTTTAGTTTAGATCTTATCTCAGCACTAAGACTACTAATTCTGGCCTTAAATTAGGCTGAAAGAATGTGTTGTTTCAAGGCAGTGCTTACAAAGGAGACTGCTGGGGCGCCTGGGTGGCGCAGTCGGTTAAGCGTCCGACTTCAGCCAGGTCACGATCTCGTGGTCCGTGAGTTCGAGCCCCGCGTCAGGCTCTGGGCTGATGGCTCAGAACCTGGAGCCTGTTTCCGATTCTGTGTCTCCCTCTCTCTCTGCCCCTCCCCCGTTCATGCTCTGTCTCTCTCTGTCCCAAAAATAAATAAACGTTGAAAAAAAAAAACAAAAAAAAAACAAAGGAGACTGCTAGATCCAGAGTTTTTATTTGAATGTTAGGGAGGGGGAAAAAGGGTGCACCAAATATTGTGGTTGTATATGGAATTATTGATCATTCTTATATTTAGCCTGTTTGAGGTTTTATCAGAGAGTTGAGAAGTATAAAGAGAAATTTAAACTCAGTAGCTTGGAACGTTTTACTTTTTGACATGACAACTTTATATCAGGGTATTTCAGATATTTTAGATGAGTCTGGAAGACAAGAGGTGGGCAGGCCACCTCACTGAAATAGCAAATTAGCCTACTGCCAAAAGGCAATATTTCTTTTTTTTTTTTAATATTTTTAAAATTTTTTTGTTTATTTACTTAGAGAGACAGAGCACAAGCAAGGGAGGGGCAGAGAGAAGGGAGAGAGAGACTCCCCAGCAGGATTCCTTTTTTTTTTTTTTTTTTTTTAATGTTTATTTCTGAGAGAGAGAGAGGGAGGGCCGGCAGGCCAGAGTGTGAGCAGGGGAGGGGCAGAGAGGGGGAGACACAGAATCTGAAGCAGGCTCCAGGCTCTGAGCTGTCAGCATAGAGCCCAAATGAGGCTTAAACTAATGGACCATGAGATCATGACCTGAACTGAAGTTGGATGCTTAATCGACTGAGCTACCCAGGCGCCGCCACCCCTGCCCCCTCCCCACCCCACCCCCGAGTAGGATTCTGGCAGTGTAGAGCCTGACATGGGGCTTGAATTTCCGAACCATGAGATCATGACCTGAGCCAAAACCAAGAGTCAGATGCTTACCCTACTGAGCCACTCAGGTGTCCTGGCAATATTTCTTTTCAAATGGGACATGCACTTTAAAACCTATCAAAATATTCTAAGGGCCACCTGAATTCTCCACCCCTTAGTTGCAGTGACTGAATGTGTTTGAGTTATTACTATTCAAGATTACTTTGCAAACCCACAGGAAGCAGGACTTCATTTTTCCATGGTAGTTTAATTCATAGGATATCTATAATCTGTGAACAACTCTTCTAAGTAACTCTACCAAGGATTGTTGTTCAGCTAAACTGAATATGTACATTGAGTTAGGAATATAAAGTCATAAGAGATATGGGAATCAAAATCATACAGTAGTTAATATTCATGGGCATTAAGGAATGAGCTGGAAAGAATCTTAGGTTTTATTCCACTGTGTGAAAAGTGTTGGCAGGGACTTTAAAAGTCCTTGAGAGCCAAGAGGCATGTGTTTTGCAATAACCAGTTAATGAAGTAAATAAGAACAGTGATCAAAGAAAGACTCAATCTTTCCTTTTTTTTTACAGTGATGAAATCCTGATGATCTATCAGTAATATAAGATTATGTATTTCTTCTTCTGACCTATTTTAGTTTATTGGGTTAAATTTAATAATATGACACTATGTATGCTTTAAAAACTTGACCTCTGTTCTTACAAAGTTTAGTATTATCTCAGGTAGATGATAACTTTGTGTTAAGACATCATAAGTTATAGGTAACTAGACATATTCATTCTACAACCAACTTTATTCATTTACAGCATTTAGGCAAATGATCTTTGAATGTTGATTTTCTTGGCTATTTCCAGCAAATTGTTGAATCTTTGCAAAGTATGTGTCTTAAAAGCTTTATTTTTGAATGTATATTTTCTAGAAAAGCTGAGGTAGATGAGGTACATCTACCTCATACTTTCCTAAATGAAATGGTATTGTGTAGGTTGGATAAGTTATTAATACTTGACATACTGGATTTAGACTTATTTCTCCATTGCTAACTTAAAATTGGACAATCCTGATGTTTGTGTGGGAATGCTAATCTGGGTAGGGGAAAAATCCTGGGATGAAAGAATAGAAAATAAGTTCCAATCTATAGTTTTATAACTTAAAAAAAAATTTTTAATGTTTATTTTTGAGAGAGAGAGAGAGAGAGAGAGAGAGACAGAGCACAAGTGGGGGATGGGTAGAGAGAGAAGGAGACACAGAATCTGAAACAGGCTCCAGGCTCTGAGATGTCAGCACAGAGCCTGATGCGGGGCTCTAACTCACAACTGCAAGATCATGACCTGAGCTGAAGTCGGATGCTCAAACGACTGAGCTACCCAGGTGCCCCTATAACTTTTTTTAAAAGTTTTTATTCATTTATTTTGAGAGAGAGTGAAAGCATGAGCAGGGGAGGGGCAGAGAGAGAGAGGAGAGAGTGAGAATCCCAAGCAGGCTCTGCACTGCCAGTGTGGAGCCCAATGCTGGGCTCGAACCCACGAACCACGAGATGATGATCTGAGCCGAAATCGGACCTTAACTGACTGAGCCACCCAGGCTCGCCTAGTTTTACAACTTTTGAAGCTATCAGGAGTTTTAGAGGTCATTTAGTAATGATTTCCAAATCTGACTTTGCATCAGAATTAAAAGTATGATGGTGGGAAAAGTGAATTGCTAATAATGCAGATTCCTAGGCATTGTCCTATACTTAGTAAATCAAATCCTCTAGGAATGGGTTTTATAGTTTTCAGAAACCCCTAGGGGATTCTGATATAGACATTTCGTGGACATTTGGGAGTCTCTGATTTAGGCTAAGATTTAATAGGTGAGGAAATGGATTTAGAAGGGAAATGAAGACAGAGTCCTACAACGGGCATGTGTGTGGGCATGCATGTGTGTTTACTTAGAACACACTGCCTCTCCATCATGAAAAAGCATGCTTTTTGTAGAAGTTTCCCAATGTCCTATTGGCCATCTGAAAAGTACTTCCAAGTCTATCTGCCTGGTAGGTCAAACATCTTAGCCTTAGGGATGTACCCAGAAGTAGTGCAATGGACCATTGACTTGAATTTGGCATCCTGACCTGAAGTATTTGACTAAGTAAGCAATGCTGAGTGGTGTTGGCATAAAAACTGTCCATGGTTTGAAATGAGGAATAGCTGTAAGTGATCAAAAGTCTGTGAAGGCCCTTCAGGCTCTGACATTTATCAGCTGCTGCTACACTTTAACACTTTTCTCTAATCAAAGGTGACTACCACTGGATGGAAGAGGCTTGCAGAACCTCTGGCTGCTCTCAGGGGAGGAATTTATTTTAATTGCCAGTGAGAAGATAGGAATGATTTCAATAAAGATCAAGAACCTCCATATTCACTTCAGCTTGGGCTCCTGGCCAAGTGTCCATTCTCTGGAGGGAGTTGATGTCAGCTGCTGTCTTGTGACTTGAGGTATTTCAGAAAAGCCAAAGGCATTACAGGAGCCTTTCCTGAGTTGGCAGGCAGGAATGGCACCAGGAATCAAGGCCTGACACATGTCATCAGCCTGGAGAAAGTGGAGTTTGGACACTAATGATGGCTCTTGTCAAGGCTCCGTGTGATAAAGCCAGGAGGACTCAGCTTCGGGGTTTGTTTGCATAGAAGAGGAGTTACGGCTTAGAGAACACCTGCCAAGACTTTTCACTGCCCCAGCTGTATGTCAGTGACAAATCCTTCACCCTTGACTCCTGTCACTTCTTTTTAATGGGTGATGGTAAAGATGCTGGATGGGTAAGGAAGAGAGGCAGGCAGCCTGGTTATATCTAGTACATTTCCCTATTTGCTTGTTTTCTTGCCGTTCTCTGTGTAGAACTAAATTTGTGTGGCCATACTCCAGGCTAGTATTTTGTCTTGTCTGTATCTGAAGGTATACTGGGCCAGAGTGTCAGGTCCTTTATTCTCATAAATGCCACTGCTGATGACCACACAAATGTCTTGATTGGCAGTTATGAGAAAGCTTTTTTTGCTGATATCTCTCTTTGTTAGAGAAGTATTATTTTCAGATTCCAGCCTTGCCATTTAGTAGCTGGGTGATTTTTGGCAAGTGGTTTAACCTCTTGTTTCTCATCTGAAAAATGTAGGTAAGTAATTAATTGTACCTATACCACTGAGTTGTTGTGAGAACTAAGTGAAAGCAGGAGTCTAAAAATACGTGGCACATAACATTCAAGTTTCAGTTACTGTTATTACTGTAATTATTTGGTCTAATTTCCTGCCTACTGGGAAGAATGCAATGAGGGGTTTCTAAGCCACTGTCTTGATGAATACAGGAATTATGGTGTAGAATGAATGTCAAATTGAAGTCAGGGGATCCAGATTCAAGTTTTGA